AACATCGACCAGACTACACAGCGCAACAACCCAGAAGACGGAACTCTTCATACTCCCCGCTGTGAAAACTTCAAACCTTACAATTATTAATTTCTTATTAATTCACTTTCACGAAAACATTTTTACAAAAAATCCTCTGAATTGTAGTCTGTGAGGAAGAATACAATTTTAGAAACAGGTGACATTCGAAACGCGTCCTTGGAGGGCAGAGAAACTGTGTCGTTGTTTCTTAAATGCTGACAAATATTTTCCCCTTAACCAGTGCAGCACTGACTTCTGTTACGTGCGCCATCCCCCCCCCCCGCGCCCCACCACACCCTGTCTTCTCCCTCACAGCATCCACGGATAAATCACGGATGAAAGAGAGCGCTGGCCTAGAAGTGCTATTTCTCGTTCATCTCAACGTGTTGAATGCCGGCACAAAAGGTGTTAATGCGGCTATTTCTAGCAGGAAACATATTTCCGCTGCTCCTGATGAAGGTGCAGGTGGAGGGGCGCCAGGAGTGCGAAGATGGATGCTTGGGTTATGTTCTTCAAAGCACGCGAAGTACCAATCTGTGCTCTCTACGTCTCCTGTGAGTTGTGGTGGTGGGGGGCAGAATCAGAGGTGTTGTCGACAATGCGTTATCTCGCTTTCTTCTTAGTTCGAATAGGGGAGTAAGGAGGTGTTAGAAGTGTGCTGATGGCGTTTTAGGCGTTTTCCCCTCTACTTACCCCCATTTCCTTCAGAATTTCAACCCACCCCCGTCACTACCATCGCAAGATACTAGGAAGTTTTTACTCGGCTTAAGTGTTGGATGAGAAAACTTTTGTGGACAAATTGTGTGCCCCGGTGTAAGACGAAATCTCCTCCGCAGTTTTGGTGCAGTGTTCACACTTGCCTGACGTCGAGATGGACGGTAATTAAGCCTTCGATAAGTGTAATTAAGAACGATGTATAATATTTATTACTTTATCGTAATTTGTGGATATTTTCGATGTTCGCTCATTACCAGTGAAGAACGCTTAAAATTATCTAAGGTCTCTCTCGTTTGACGTGACGTGGAGAAAACCAAGTTTCTTGTATCGCCAATCGCAACAAGAGATGGTGGTGTTTTGCTGTGTAAAGTGACTTCAATGCAAGTAATTTACATTTAAATATGCGCTGATCGACGTCTTCTAACAGTTTAATACGTGTTACGCGTTTTAATCTTTGAAACTTAATATCAGCTGCTTTAATAAAGAAATGTGACAACGGATGGAAGTGATGGCGTCGATTTGCGGGAATTCTGCGGATGAAGAATTCAACGTGTTTATATCATCATTTACAGATGATGACGAAGACGATGATTCTTGCAGCAATGAAACAGAAGACGATGATGTCCGAATACCTGCAGATCAGCGCCGACAGGGATCGCCGACGTCATCAGCGAGCCATAATGATGGACAGCAGAATGCTAACCACGTGTCGTCTTCGATAAACACTAGAAAATTTTCGATAGCGAGTATTTTGGGGACGGAAGGCGAGGGTCAGAGCGACTCTGGGCATCAGAACAAACGAGGGCGAGATGACGGAGCAACGTTCGTACGACCGACGCCCGTCTCGGCCGTGATGGGTCCTCCGCCCCTCAACATGGCGCTGTGTCCCAGCGCCGTCTTTGCACATCAAGCTTCGTACACGAATTCCGCCACGGGAATGATGCTGGAGATGATATCGCCAAATTCCGTCGCTTGCAGTAGCGAGCACCTCAGCTCCTCTTTGCCCTACCCGGCGTCTCTGGCGTCGGCCTCTGCAGCGTCGCTGTTGTACGGCGGATGGTTTACCGCGTCGGCCGCGAACAAGGCGCCAAGTCAGCTGTTTGGACTTCAAGGTAAGTTCCTCGGGGGAGGAAGATCAAACCAAGAACTCTCGGTTCGTCCAATCAGTTTCAAAAGCCGTCTGTCTTATTAAAAGTGGTTTCGGTAACACAAATTCTCTTGTGCGTTAATCACGTCAGTTATTCTTCTAGATATTAACGAATTTCCGCGCTTTCGTCGGATTTTCCCCCCGAGTGATCAAATGATTTAAACATTTTTTCCGAAAGTTCGTGTCCCATTGTAATTTATACCGTCTCAAAATTTATGTGAAGAGACCACGAAAACCGGCTCACGGAACAGTGGTTTCCGGGTCGATATTCGAATCGGTTTTTCTGTTATGAAATACGGGTCTCCTTTCGAATCTCTTCCCACAAATTTTTGAACGCGAAGGAAGAGCATTTGTTATACACACGAAACAAACGTAACAAAATACGATTCGCCAGATCAAAGCCGCGTCTCATGTTACACGCAAAAGTGCAGACCATAATTTTCTACATCTCCTGTCAGATTAATTGCCACGGAGAGGATATGCGAAGTCTCCAGTTTACTTTGACATCTCTGAAACTTTGAAGACTGCATCGTCTTATGGCAGATGACGTCAGAATTAGGTTTCAGCGGTGTCAAACTCCCAGACTGTCTTATCCTCTAGGTTTTAAAACATACAAGCAAAACTATAGCTGTAACTTACGTTTGGGTGTAGAACATGGTCAGTCACGGACAGGGAACGCGGAGTTCAAGAACAGAGTGTGTTAAGAGGATGGAGTACAATGAGCTTAGTCGATTTTCACTTCTCACACCAAATCACGACAGATTGAATGCGCTGGATATTTAGTGTTGTAATTCGGTATTAACTCCTGAATACCTTGAATCCAATTATATTTTTAGAAGCACATCTTGTCAGGGGATCGACCTCACCCCAAAGCTACTCAAGATAACACAACAGGAAATAACACGTTTGTAGTCGAACCGACAGCTCCCGTGTTCCAGCGGTCCAAAGCCGTAGGACTTGTTGAAAATCCCACACGGAAAAGTCCTCCTACAAAAGTTAATATTATGCTCCGTTAGTCAACAAATTTCTCGTCTTTTATGGAATTAAGTTTCATTGCCTCTACGCAAGAGTCCTCTGTGACAGCCGGACTCTGTTTCCCATTTTGATATTTAATTTATTTTTAAGACTCATTTTAATATTTTCTTGTGGGTGATTCTTTTCCTTCAAGAATTACGAAGATAGATTGAATGCATTTCTAATTCGTGCTACATTCCACATCAATTTCGCCCTCCCTGGTTTGGTAATTAAAAGAAAATTAGTTCGTAATGCAGTTTATTGGAAGATCTCGTTATTCGCCCAGCTTAGGTCCACTTACCCTGTTCTAAAACGCTTTCAAAATGCGTTCTTCCCTTAACTTGAGATGCTAAGTTTTATGCCCGAACAAAATGTAAAAATTTAAGTTCTGTAAGTTTTAACATTTTCATATTTTGGTAACAGCAATTCTGTTCTTTGACAAGTTGAGCGAGTGCCAATCGAATTTTCATTGAATATCCTACACCATAAAGTGAGTGGGTTACAGCAGGCAGAAACGCAAAATATTATCAGCTGAATTCAGCATCTTAAAGATAATTTCAATATTTTACACTCGTTCTAAATTTCACGGATGTCCGTCTGTCCGCAACTTCTCCGCCAGTTTCGCCAACATTTTAAGCCTTGGTCTGATCTACGGGTTTAATTAAAACAAAATTAATTCTTCTCGGACTAACAGCCTTGTCAGGATGGTTTAATGGAGAAAACACCGACGTTTCGAGAACCACTTTCGTCCTCGTCCTCAGGGTACTTAGTCGAAGGAAACAGTTTATGGTGACATTTGCTAATATTCTTTTCTAACATCCAAATGCTGTATGGAAGTTTATAATTTCACGTGGTTTCTGGTGCGTCGAACCTTGTGAGCTGTGAAATATAATGTTATTAAATCGCAGACAGCGGGTTATGTCTGCAGCAGAACAGCTATGAACAGCTGCGTCAGTCGGTCGTAAGAATTAGTAGTGAATGCAACTAGAAACTTCCGTACGGGCACTGAACCTGCGACCCGCGGCATCTCTTCAACCGGCTCTTTTGAAGCATCAGAAAATGAGTTAAAACTAAGGTCTAGAGTACAGAAAATCGGGGCGAACGCCCCAGGACCCGCTTATGGTATCATGGAATATTTTTTAACTTTGTGGTTTGAAGACGATTGATTTTGTTGAAAGAGAGAGTTCATTATTTGGTTGGACTCTGGTATCAGCAATAGCCACTGAATCCGGTGGCTAAGATAATCTTCGATTACTGAAATGGAGCGTGAGAGTCCTCTGAAAAGGATAGAACACATGTTAATTAATTATCCTGCACGTGGCACGTAGTTTGGGCAGGGAGAATTCGCTTATCAGTTCTACAGAAGATTTTCAGTGCTTATTTCTGACACCGATGTTAAAACCTTCTACTGGAACACGTGAGAATTCTGAAATTTCGATTTGCGACGTGTTTTAAGGCGTCTTGTCATCGCACGTGAACACAGAAGACGTGTTTATTATAGAATTGAGGGTCTCGTGTCGATTGTATCACGGTCAGGGTCTTGCAATATGAATAATTTCAGTTTGCTTTTGGTTTACAATTACGTTAATTCTTTCTCGGCCCGAAATGTTCTATTCAGAGTTCATGGGAATCTTGTTACTGGCGTGTGTATACTTTAGATAACTGAGTTAGATAAATTAAACAAAAACACATTAAATAATGTCTTTATTAAAAACGTAATTTGATTCTTACTGAGTAAGTCCTCAAGACAAGTGGAGGAACGAACGTCTTGTGTTTGATTTCTAGTTAAAGTTTTGCTGTTTTTTGAAAAAAAAATACAACATTGGTAGACGTTAGAACCAAGTGGTCGTGTTGTTGAAATAATTGAGTTTTTAGCCCGAAATTTTAAATTAAAATTAAACGACTTTATTGGCCATACTAAAAGTATTTGTATTTCAAATCCGTTCTCCTTTGAAATCGGCGATGACCCAGAATAATAGCAGCATGAACTGAATGAAATGCAGTGCATAGCTCGAAACAGGGAGCTTTTCTTGCCTTGCTTTCTTCTTTAATAATATTTATTTCGGTTATCGGAAGTTCTTCAGTTAGCACGAGATTTGTCAATTGTATTTAAGTAGCAAGTTACACCTTTCAATATGGCACATCTGCTCATGAGCTACACAACCCACTTTTTACTGCAGTATCAGAAGGGGCCGTGCTTCTAAATACAACTTTATTTACAAAAATATGCATATAATAGGGTGACTCAAAATATTTACGCAGAACAAATAACTGTTCAATTACTGGCACAAAAACGCAATCTGATTATTTCACTGGAAATTTTTTAAATATTATACTATTAATTTAAAACATACTGTAGGCGTGAAATTAGAAAAATTGTTAGATGTGAAGGTGACACAGTCCCTCGCCGTAGCCGCGCGGTCTGAGGCGTCGTGCTTCGGACCGGCGATACGGAATGCGCGCTGGTTCTCGTGAGCTTTCGACCGGTGTCAACCCAACATCGTGAGGAAATTGGGGAGCTACAATCCGGTCATGAAAACTAGCAATGGCTGGGGGTTGGTCGTGGTGACGACACGTCACTCTGTATCTGATTGGATGATCGTCCACCTCTGCTTAGGCATGTGAACGTGAGGCTTTGGCTCTCAGAGGGCTCTTACCCCACGGAAAAAAGATGACACATTCCAAGTTAAATGTTGTTATACCTTATCAGGACATGACAGTTCGTATTTTTTTATTAGGTGGAGACCAAAATATGGCGTCGAGATGTTCAGCGCAGCGACGTTGTATTTCAGCGAGAATACTCCGCCTTCGAGAAGGCTCGCTTTGAAATTTTGTTAAATGCGAATAAGACGATCATCTGAAATTTGTGCTCGTAAGCTGTGACAAACATCCAGGAAACATTACAACACAAAAATGATTAATGTAACCACAGAAATACTGAAAATTTGAAAAATGCGTAGAGTCGAAGCAGAAACAAGGGTGAAAACATTTACGCTGAAAATGACACCCTTCCTTTAACCCTCTGAAGCCTACTTAATATTTGATATTTCAGTCCGTACCGCAAAGAAAACACAAGGCTTCATCATTAAAATCATCTATTACTTTACGTTGTTTACGATGAAAATCGTAAGATATCCACAAATACAAAATTCAGGGTTAATAATTTTTAAAGAAAATTAATAATTTTTAAAGAAAATTATTTACAAGGTTTAGCATGGTGCTTATATGAATGTGCTGATTATTCAAACAAAGAATTAACATGACATTTCCGGTTATACTACGTGTGTTTTAATTTTATAAAATATGATACAGTTTCTTAGCTACATGTTGTCTCAAGCTGTATTAAATAAAGCTCTTTTAACATGCATTAAATATTATATGTCGTAATACTTGCATAGCTCGTATCCCATGTCAAGTTTCGTAAAAATCTGTCAAAGAACTGAAGATGTTTAGTCTATACTAAAATTATGTCAATGCCTTTACGTAGAATGAAAGTCAAAATGTTCGACACTGTTCTTAACCTTGTGTCGTGATATCCCGTGTGTTAACTAATTTAGAGTACAATTTTATCATATTTTATCAGTCTTTAAGGATTAACATATCGTGGCACTTTGCATTTATAAACGAATCCAGTTTTAAAGCCTTGATAATCCACCAAAGTCACTTTGAGGTAAGAATAATTGCTGATGGAGGCCCAGGACAAAGTCCTCAGGAAAATAATCACATTTTAGAAGTTTGAAACAAAGTGAAATGAAGATTTCAGGTAGGAGGTTTCTTGCAAAGTTAACACGAGAAGCAGTACATGGTGGGGAGTGTTCAATTCGGCTTTCGGGGACTGAAAATGAACGAAATTCTTTTTGGTCGTCGGTGGAACTGACTCAGAATTCAGTTCAAGTGCCGGCAACACAGGGACGTTTAAATTCCGTGTGCAACATCAGCACTGCCCCAACG